TTAACCACCTATTCTTCCTCCTGGGCTCCTCTGCCCAAATCCAACTCTATCCCTTTGCACTTTGGCAGCACGTAAAGAAGCCATTAAAAAGGTAAAGGGACCCCTGACCATTAGGTCCAGTCGTGACCGACTCAGGGGTTGTGGCGCTCATCTCGCTTTATTGGTTGAGGGAGCCAGCGTACAGCTTCCAGGTCATGTGGCCAGCATGACTAAGCTGCTTCTGGTGAACCAGAGCAGCGCACAGAAACGCCATTTACCTTCCCGCCGGAGCGGTACCTATTTATCTACTTGTACTTTGACATGCTTTCGAACTGCTAGGCTGGCAGGAGCAGGGACCGAGCAATGGGAGCTCACCCCATCGAACTGCCGACCATCTGATCAGCAAGTCCTAGGCTCTGTGGTTTAACCCACAGCACCACCCGCATTACTAGACTCCTAAAAAAACCAGAAGACTGCATAAGCCTACAGGTCTCAGCAATGATCACCTTGTGCAAGATTAATTTACCATAGATAGGCAAGGTCTCTGGGCACATTGTGGCATCCCGACAGTGGGTTAGACAGGTGTTTTTGAATGAAACCTATTATTCAGATCTATTCCAATCTGGCTTCTGGCCTGGTCTGGGGGGTCAATACCAGATACCCTATGCTGAGTGATGGATAGCAGGAATGTGACCCGGATGATTCTTCTGCCCTTCTCAGATGTGACTCATCTTTCTGAATGGAATTATTTGCTAATTATTTACCTTTCCATGGAGGCGCAGGTTACTGCAACAGCAAAGGCGACATTTTTCTACCTTTGCCACATTAAGCAGTTGGCCCCTTACCTTTCCCGCCCCGATCTGGCCACAGTGATCCATGCAACAGTCATCTCCAGGCTTGACTACTGTAATTCGCTCTATGCGGGGCTGCCCTTGAAGCTGTCCCAGAAACTCCAGCGGGTGCAGAATGCTGCAGCGAGGCTCCTTACAGGGTCTCTGCCATGGGAGCATATTCACCCAGTGCTTTTCCAGCTGCACTGGCTCCCGGCGGAGTACAGGGTCAGATTTAAGATGCTGGTTTTGACCTTTAAAGCCCTTCACAGCCTAGGACCCTCGTACCAACGGGACCACCTCTCCCGGTATCCCCCATGGAGGACCTTAAGGTCCATAAATAGCAACATCCTAGAGGTCCTGGGCCCTAAGGAAGTTAGATTAGCCTCAACCAGAGCCAGGGCTTTTTTGACACTGGCTCCGGCCTGGTGGAACGCTCTGTCTCATGAGACCAGGGCCCTGCAGGATCTGATTTCTTTCCTCAGGCCCTGTAAGACAGAGTTGTTCCGCCTGTCCATTGGCTTAGAATCAATTTGATTCCCTTCCCCTCTTTCTTTTTCCCTTTCTCCTCCTGTGATGAGGCTGCATTTTAATGTTGAATTTCAATCTTGTTTCTTAAGTTGTATTTCAATCAACTTGTTTTTATTATTGGTTGTTAGCCGCCCTGAGCCCGGTCTTGGCTGGGGAGGGTGGGGTATAAATAAAATTTATTATTATTATTATTACTATTATTTATTTTAAAGCTTCTAAGGTAGCTTTCAAAGAACAACAACACACATTTGAATACACAGCAATATCAACATATAAGGACAGTTGGCCAGAGGGAGAAAGAGGGACCCCAGTTGAAGCAGCCTGTGGTGATTTCTGTGCCTGCCCTTCCTTATCTCCTTCCCTTCCCACTGGGAGTGGGAGGCACTGTACCGCAGTGGCCGGAGTTATTCCTGTTGGATCAACTTCCCGGAGGTAGTGCTAGGGAACTGCTGTTCCACTTCATGACCCTTGAACTATAGGCTGTCACAAGTTCCCCTTTTTCAACATCTGCATCAGGGATGCCTGTGGCTTCTGAGACGCTGCTGCACTCCAGCTCCCATCATCCCTGACTACAGGCCATGAGGCCGTTTTGGAGGGCTCCAGTTTCCCCATCTCCAATCTAAATGAAAACTGCTGTGTGAGGTTATCTGGAGGCTGCAAATGGTCAAACAAAGGCAGTTATGCACAGCACCAATTGGGCACCACGTGTCTTGTCATGAACCCGTACCCCCCATAACATTTTAAAATGGGTTTTCCTTTTTAAGGTGAGCATAGTTAAATCAAGAACACAGAATTAAAATGGCAAACAACCTTCCCTAAAGCATAGCTGGGGAGCAAGACTAATCGGTGTTCAAATCACCAATGCATATGTCAAGTACATGGCAAAAGGAGAAAAACCCACTACAACTTCTGCTTTAATGTTTTGGGTGCATGCAGCTGAGCTCTCTCTGTGCATGTAACAACTCTGCAGAGTTAAGACGGTGGGATCTAAAGACTCATGAATGGCATTACTGTGGCTTCCACCTCCCACCAGCGCCTCTTTCATCCTTTGTAAAGTCATTCTGGGAATTTGAAAGATGCTCAGTAATAATCTCCAGTGCAGCAGTGGGAGAAGAAATCTGGAAGGGACTAATATGCTTACAGAAGCAGTGAGCACTTGGACTCTTTGGATCCTGGCTAAGAAGACCTGTGGCACACATTAAAGAGAAAAATATATGTGGCATTTCATGTAGCCATAAAATATATAACCCATTAAAACCCAATCTTTTACCCAAGGGATACAATGCCATATGGAAACATGCTAATACTATTCTAGTAAGGATAGCTTTGAGAGATGCTCTGCTCTCGCTCTTTACGTGTGGGCTGCTGTTGAATTGCCAAGCAACTTCCACACTACATTAGCAACATAATCTTGCAGAACTTTCCCTGTAAAATTACAGATAAAACTAAATAGTCACAATCACAGCCTTTGTAGAAGACTTTAAAAAAATGCAAGATAAGGAACCATGAAGTTCCCATTCAACACTATTAAAAAGCAACTGTTTGGTCTGATTGTTCAGCATGACTTATATCTCCCTCTATTCATTTAGTTTTAGTTCTTTTCACTGATTTGTATTTACAACACATGAAAGCAACTGAGGATCCTTACTGGCAGATAACAGAGTGCAAGCCGGAAGCATAGAAAAGGCAATAATCTGGGCATAATCTGGAAACAGTTCAAGTACTTTATTCAAAACCTCAGTTTCCCTAGTCAGATTGAATGCACACCACCTTCAGACTGGGAGTAATCACCACCCTTCAAACTGATGTCAGGGGAAGGAAAACTCTTGACTTCAACATCCAGAGAACCCTGGCAGAACTTAATAGCTGTTTCAGCGGCAGGTGGGAAATCCCTGGAAAACGCTGAGCTCTGGTTGGCTTTCCTCTTAAACCAGGGGGCTGTAAATCATTGTTTCGCCTACAGCAAAAAGCTGGATTATTTACTGGTGAAATGGGGATTCTAATCCATCCAAAATATGTTGAGTACAGAAGGAGGTGGCAGCAGCTACTGCAATGTAATCACTAAGTGTTTCACAGGTGTATTATCTCATGTATGAAGTGTCAGTAGGGATGAGAAAAATGCACTGCTGGACATGGGGCTAGGTCATGGTGAACAGGACTCTTCAATCACCAGAGAAATCCCTCTCCTGCCCTCCATATAGTTACTTCCTATGTTCAGGCTGGTCCTCCTGGCTCAGATGAAACCCATGGGACACACACTCCAAGGCAGGGAAGGAGAACCTGAGTGCACTCTGTACAGACTCAGAGGCACAATCTACAGTGGTGCCTCGCAAGACGAAATTAATTCGTTCCGCGAGTTTTTTCGTCTTGCGATTTTTTCGTCTTGCGAAGCACGGTTTCGGAAAAGTTTTGGGAAAGCTTCAAAAATCACCAAAGTCTTCAAAAACCTCAAAAAAGGCTACCACACCGCGTGCTATGAGTTGCTCCTCGAAGTCAAGTCGCAACTGTATTAACGGTTTTAAGAAAAAAGGAAACAAACTTGCAAGACGTTTCCGTCTTGCGAAGCAAGCCCATAGGGAAAATCGTCTTGCGAAGCAACTAAAAAAACCAAAAACCCTTTCGTCTTGCGAGTTTTCCGTCTTGCGAGGTACCACTGTATATTGCAGCGTAGATTCATGGCTTTCAGAAAGAGGGTGGTGAGGCTGAACTCAGATCAAACCCAGACACATATGAATCTCTAATAAGGCAGAAACAGCAGATAAATCCTTCTCCCGCCCCTGCTTATAGTTACTACAGATGTTCAGGCTCCTTTTCCTGGCTCAAATAAATCCCACGGAACGCCCACTACAAGACGGGGAAGGAGAACGTGAGTGCACCCTGCACATGCTCAGAGGCACCATGTTTCCTTCACATGTCGCAGGGCAGACCCTTTCAGAAAGAGGGTGGTGGAGCTTGAACTCAAGACATGCGTTAACCTCTAACAACAACAACAATGGGACAGAGGGGATGCCCTGTGTAGCAGCACCCCAACTTTTCGACCAAAGGGGAGGACAGCATGGGCATAGGAAGGGGTGGTACAGCTGCCCCTATAAATCAAGCCTTTTTAAAAAATAATAATTTTATTGCATTTTCAATTTTATCATGATCAGAGTTTCATTACATAATTCAATAAACCCAAGCATTGCTCTAACAGAGCATCGACCTCCCCTGCTCCTCTTTCTGACTTCCATACATAATTACCTTATTCTTAGCATTTCTATAACCACTTCTTTTTACCTTCTCTCTCGTTTTTGTATTTCCCCTCATTAAATGTAAATCAGCCCCTGTAAATCAAGTCAATAAATAAAAACCTAACTAAAGTAAAATAAGTCAATAAATAAAAAAATACTTAACTGGCCAACTGAGTTGCAGATAACTCGGTTCTGCCCCCCCCAACCCCCCAAAAATTAAATCCTGGAGGGCGGCCTACAAAAAAGCACACTCCCCCCCCCAACAACGACCCCGCTTGGGAGGCACGACAAGCGAGCTTTAGAGACCCCCTCGACGGTGTGAGGGTGGTGGGGAGGGATTTGAACCCAGGCCTTCCTCGGCGTCCCTACCCCGGCACTCTAACCGCGGCACCGCCCCCGCCCGCGCCCCGTTCGACGGCAGAGAGTCGTCGCGAGCAGCTCGGCCTCCAGCGCCGTCGAGGCCCCCCGCCGCCGCCGCCGCCGCGGGCCATGTGCCCCCCGGAGCTCCTCCGCGCCCTGCTGCAGAGGCGCCCGAAGGTTCTGCCGCCGGCGAAGGAGGCGAAGGGCAGGCGTCGGAGGTGGAGGTGGTGGCCGGCCCGCTGCTTGCCCGTCTGGTCGGGGATGTCCCGCGGCGCCAGCGCCGGCCCCTCGTCGTCGTCGTCCTCGGCTTCGTCCTCGTCCTCCACGTGCTGCTCCTCGCGCAAGGCGGAGCAAGCCCGCGGCCCCTTCGGCGAAGAGCAGTTCCTGGCCGTTTGCCGGGAGTCGACCAAGCCCCGGGAAGCGGCCAGGGCCGCCTGGGAGCTCATGGCCGAGACCGCCAGCTTCTGCATCTTCCGGCTCTTCGACGAGGTGCGAGGCCGGCCAGGGGCGACGGCGCTGCGGCCCGACCAGAAGGGAAGGGGGGAAAGGGCCGCCGAGGCCTAGGCGGAGCAAGGGAGCCTGAGGACCGGCGCCGCGTTGCCGTGGAAACGCCAGGGAAAGAGGAGGCCTCCAAGCTGTTTGGGGACTACAGTTCCCGTCATCCCCGGCCACTGAGTCTGCTAGCTAGGGATGATGGGAGTTGTAGTCCAACAACAGCTGGGGGGCCAAAGGTTGAGAAACACTAGGGATGCCCATACTTTGGTCTCCAGCTGTTTTTGTGGCAGTTCCCGCCATCCCTGGCCACTGGTCCTGCCAGCTAGGGATGATGGGAGTTGTAGTCCAACAACAGCTGAGGGCCCAAGGTTGAGAAACACTAGGCCCGGGTTGCCCATGCTTGGGTCTCCAGCTGTTTTCGCAGCAATTCCCATCCATTGATCCCTCTAGCTGGGGATGATGGGAATTGTAGTCCAAAAACAGCTGGGGACCCAAGGTTGAGAAACATTGTGTGGGACAGCAGCTCTTTTCATTAGTCAGAGCCCCCTGGCCAAACTTCCACCTGGTCTTTCCTCCACGGTGGCCAGTGGGGCTCCCCGCCTCTCGTGCCCCATGGCCCTCACAACAGGCCTGCAAGGTAGGCAAGGCCGAGAGAAAGCTGACTGGCCCCAGGCCATCCTGCTGAGAGCTTTGTTCCTGAGGGGGTTTTTAACCTGAGGCCTCCGTTGCACTTCAAAAACCACTTCCAGCCTTTGGAGGAGTGGGGAATGCATCAGGTTTGCCAACTCCTATTCTCTACTACAGCCTGCTCTCGATTGTTGGCCATGTCTCTTCTTCAAAGAAACAGATTACAAAGTTCCTGAACATGTACAAAATGCTTTGCCTTTCCGCTGGGCCTCTCATTATTTAAGGAGAAGCCCCGCTGTATCAAACAAAACAGGGCTGGCAAGGTACGGTGATTGCCTCTTGGAGCAGGATCCACAGGGGCACCAGATCCCAATGGAGATCTTTATTGTTCCTAGGGGTGCCTCAAAAAAATCCTGCCCTCCGTTATATAGTCCTTCTTTGTTTACTGGCACCCATGTAGGAGCAGGGCTTTTCCTTCCAGGACAGATTACAAGACTTGCTCAGAGCCTGAACCTCATTTGAAAAATTAAGATCTACTTCCACCTCTTTTCAGTATTATATTTTTTGTGAATGAACTTTAAAGGATATGTGTGTAGTATTGAAAAACATATGCCAGAAGGCAGCCCCTGGTCATTGCATTGTTCCTGTGTACAGGAAAAGCAGAAATCAAAGATGCAGTGATAGGGAACAGCTTACCTGTTGTGTTTCTACCTGTCATGCCAATGTTAGGGACATAATAGCACTGCCAGGAAGGAAAAAAAACCAACTAGTTCATGCCCTGGTGTGGGAATTAACAAATGGACAGAATCAACCAAGGGGAGCAGAGAAGTGTGCATTATGTGACCATGAAATAGACAGGGTTCTCCCTTGAGATGTAGTAGCAGTATTTGGGTATTCCAGATAGGAAGCATAAAATAGGGACTGACAGCTTTCTGTAGAGTACTGATCAGCAACTGACAGCCTGTGGGTCAAACCTGGCTGGGTGTGGAGTGTCCTCTGCTCCCTCCACCTTGCCAGACTTCAAGCAGAAGGGATGTGCAGCACTTACTATGACTATAGAACTTGATTTAGGAAATGAGATTGGCTAATCGTTCTCTAGGGACGCGGGTGGCGTTGTGGGTTAAACCACAGAGCCTAGGACTTGCTGATCAGAAGGTCGGCGGTTTGAATCCCCGCGACGGGGTGAGCTCCCGTTGCTCGGTCCCAGTTCCTGCCCACCTAGCAGTTTGAAAGCACGTCAAAGTGCAAGTAGATAAATAGGTACCGCTCCGGTGGGAAGGTAAACAGTGTTTCCGTGTTCGCCAGAAGTGGCTTAGTTATGCTGGCCACATGACCCGGAAGCTGTACACCGGCTTCCTCAGCCAGTAAAGCAAGATGAGCGCCGTAACCCCAGAGTCGGTCATGACTGGACCAAGGGGTCCCTTTACCTTTACCTTTACCCCCTCCTCAAAGTGATGCTCCTGTAAAACTACTTACGGTCCAGACAGATTAAGGATTAAATTGCTATATATTTCCATTTGAAATGGAACGGTGGAGACCTGCACCTCAAGGGTGCTTCTGGATTTAGATTGACAAGAATTTTGCTGTAACCATAGTGGGGTTAGCTCCATTTTTCATGGGTGTTCTGCTTCTGTGTCATCCCGTCCTTCATGACCTTTCATGATCCCGAGGCTTCTATTTTCTTGTAGTCTTCTGCTTCCCAGACCTGAGAGGAGCTGAGACTTGAGTACTAACAGCTGGACTTTGTCTTGTTTAACCATGGGGGTGCACCACAGTTGTCTGTTTTTCTTTTCCCTTGCTCCCTTTCACAGGAAGTTTTGTAGGACAGTGTTTGAGAGGATTAGCTTTTTCTTTTTCTTTTCACAGCATCCTTGAATGGGTCAGGGAGGTGGGCAGGACGCCAGGAGTACAGACACAGGCAGAGTTTATTCTTTCCCTCCCTTCCAAAGCAGTTTGTGTCCTTGGAAAAACTGCATTTTAAAAAAAATCTAGGAGTGGGCTTGAGAGTTAGAAGACGAACAATATTTATTTTCTAAACGCTGCAACCTACTTTCAAGTAGCTTGTTTTCCGGAAGAGTTCTGCTTGCTGCACTTGTGTGTTCAAATTTACTCCATTTGCCGTATTTTTTGCTCTATCAGACTCACTTTTTCCCTCCTAAAAAGTAAGGGGAAATGTGTGTGCGTCTTATGGAGCAAATGCAGGCTGCGCAGCTATCCCAGAAGCCAGAACAGCAAGAGGGATTGCTGCTTTCACTGCACAGCGATCCCTCTTGCTGTTCTGGCTTCTGAGATTCAGAATATTTTTTTTCTTGTTTTCCTCCTCCAAAAATTAGGTGCGTCTTGTGGTCTGGTGCGTCTTATAGAGCGAAAAATACGGTAATTTCTTGTCATGAGCTTATTTACTCAGGTAGAAAAGTACCATGCTCCTATCTTGGCCGTGGGCTAATGTGGGCCTCTACATAGCTCCATCCTGATTTCAGACATCATGATATATCGCTGTATTGAAAACCAGGTATCACTCAGCCCTAGATGGCAGCAACCACACCACTCTTAATTCATTTCTGAAGCCTGTATGCCAGTCCTTGCCATCATATTCCTAGATCTGTCTGGCCCAGATCTGTCTGTTTTCAATTGATTTCACTCTTGTATACGTTTGAGGACAAATCCCAGCCTCCTCAGCACAGATTTCAGACTGCTTCCGCTTCAGGATAAACAGCTGGCCAACTCAGCAGGGCATTCTGCCTCGAAATACTGAAATACTGAAGCCCTGCTGGTTTATTGGCCAAGAGGAAAACTTTGTGGGCTGCCTGTGGTCAGAGACAGCGTGATTCAAGCAGCTGGCAGAAATGCCTGGAAGTGGAGTCTAGCGCAGGCAGGAAGCCCAATTCTTTACTAACCAAAGTGCTATCAAAATTGGGACGTGCGTTGGTGGAATGCTTGAAGCCTCTGCTATTTTGGTGTGTGTTGCATGGCCCTGCTGTATTAGATACGACAGGAATTTGGATAATTGGGGGCTTGGAAGTACAGTGGTACCTCGGGTTAAGTACTTAATTCGTTCTGGAGGTCCGTTCTTAACCTGAAACTGTTCTTAACCTGAAGCACCGCTTTAGCTAATGGGGCCTCCTGCTGCCGCCGTGCCGCTGGAGCACGATTTCTGTTCTCATCCTGAAGCAAAGTTCTTAACCTGAGGTACTATTTCTGGGTTAGCGGAGTCTGTAACCTGAAGTGTATGTAACCTGAAGCATATGTAACCTGAGGTACCACTGTAATGTATTTTAAATGCTTTTTTTTTTTTATAAAATTTTTATTGGTTTTAGAAACTTTTTAAGAAAAACAAACAAACACCAAGAATGACAAACATACACGTATAGTTTCAAACATATTTTCATAAACCTCTTTCCTTTGACTTCCCCATACCCCCCCTCTCTGCATCCCAATGTCCATAATTCAACTAGCAACTCCCAATTGTTACTTTCCAATCTCTGTCATCTTAGTCCTCTTTTATATTTCTAACCTTATATCCCTGTATCCCTTTGTTTCTGGAAACCACAACATTTTAGCATTCATTAAGTTTATAGTAGTCCTTAAGATAACTTTTAAATTTTCTCCATTCTTCTTCCACCGTCTCTTTTCGTTGGTCACGGATTCTGCCTGTCATCTCGGCTGTATTTTAAATGCTAGGTTGTTTTGTTGGTGTGATAATTCTGTCCAGTCAGCAAATGCTGACACAGATCAAGAACAATTTCACACGTGGCTTGTATGTTTAATTTGTTTTTTCAATGGGAATACAAGATCTGCATTGGTCAGACTGATGATTGAAATAAGAAATGCGTCTCTTCTGATTTCTCTTCTACTATAGGAACAATCACACTGTCATCCCAAGTGAGGCTCAAAGGCCATTTAAGCCCTGCCTGGGAGGTCATGCTAAGTTTACATGGTGATTGTTTGGAGACTGGAATGCAGTATCATCCCTCAAGAAGAAAGTAGGCAGATGTCATACTTGGCTCGGTTTTAAAGGAAGCAATTTGTTGTATTTGTTTTATCAAAACAAACGCTGCAGTTTGTAGACATATGACAGCAGTGAAAGTTAAAACAGGTTGGCAGGTAGCATAAGTGGTGGAATCCATCTGGTACAGTGGTACCTTGGTTTACAAACTTAATCGGTTCCGGAAGTCCGTTCTTAAACCAAAGTGTTCTTAAACCAAGACGTGCTTTCCCATAGCAGTGGGGGACTCAATTTACAAATGGAACACACTCAACATGTTCTACTTCCAAGGCAAAGGTCACAAACCGAAACACCTACTTCCGGGTTTGTAGCATTCTTAATCCAAGTTGTTCATAAACTAAGCTGTTCTTAAACCAAGGTTCCACTGTAATTAGAGGCATGCAAAATAAGTAGGTGTGTGGATGTTGGGATTACATAGCTTTTCTTCACATATTTGCACTTCTTTGTAATTAGGGTTGGCTTGTTCATTCTCTGATGGACAGCTTTTTTAACTATTGTAGTAGTATCATACTGTGGTAACCCATGGTAGCATGCTTTGCTCTGGCCTTTGACGCCTGAGATATACAATTTTAGGACCCACCCTATTTTTGTGGTTTTTTGGGGGGTGTAATTGTAAGTTTTTAAAATGTTTAATGTTGTATTTTAAATTGTTGTAACCTGCCCTGGGACCGTAGGGTGAAGGTTGGGTAATAAAATTATAGTAATAATAATTTAGCAGTTTGCAAACATGCCTGAGGAACAGAGGATTGGAAACGAAACCTGGAACGTTAAGGGTTCTAGGAAGTGTCCCAGAGTTGCTTTAAAAAAGAAAAAAAGAGAGGCTTTGCTTGCTGACTAAAGCCAGCTTTATCGCAGACTATGAATAAACAAATATATAAAATAAACCAGAAAGAAAAAGCTCTCAAAGTGTCCAAAATATTTTGTAACCCACGCCTCTCTTTTTGCTTTTAAAGAAATCTGTGCCACTGTAGCAACTTTGGTAGAAATCTCTAAATCCAGGAAAGTCTCTTTGTGGTGGAAAGCAACTAACACTGCCAGAGCGGTGGGATCATACTAAAATCTAGACTAGCTATAGGCAGTGGTTTGTCTTTAGAATTTATTGTTTTCAAAATGCAGACTAATGTTTAACAATTTTGTTTTGTTTTGTTACTGCGATGGCCCAGTCTGAGAACACTTTATGGTAACTGTATGTTTTCCAGCCTTCTAAACAAACATCTCCTGTAATCTGCAGGCACATCATAATCTCACTTTCAGATGATATTCACATTCCTTTTGTACAGGAAAATAGGTTTGCTAACCTTTGAAAGCTCAGATTATCTGAGATATTGCTAGCCTTGTGAACTAAAACCACAACTAAAACCATCTGTTGTGGTAGATGGTGGTCTAGACTCTTCTTGTAATGTTCTGCAGTAAAGGGTAGTCCTTTAAATAAATGGAGGTAGAGCAATTTTACAGAGTGTAAAATTTCAGGAATCACTCTTAAATAATTGCAGGCTTGATGTATCTTTGGAAAATAGAACTCCGGAGGGCGTAGGCTTGGGTGGAGGTCTACTTCACATTGCCAGAATTTGTTTGTGAAGCAGTGTTGTAATGCCTTATTACAAAATGCTGTGTGAGTCATGCCGTATCTTTATTTTAAATATTTCCTTTCTTTAAATGTTGGGTTCATAAAGGGTCTAGCTGACGGTGCTGAAGGATGAAGTGATGTTTATTGAATGAGAAAGTTCATGATAACAGAGCTCTGTTAAAAAATATTTTACAGAATACAAGACTGAAAAGGGTAAAAGGTAGTTTAAATTCCATTCACTTGTACCGTGCTTTGACATTTTTCTCCTCGATGAATTAGACCCGAAAACCTTCTGTTTCTGCAATTGGTATTGCTAGCAAATAATTCAACTCTCTGAACAAAGGGTTATCCAACTCTTAGTGTAAGGGTTATTTGATTTGTGCAGAGAGCTCCACTTAGTCAGATAAAACAAAATAAATAACATGATTTTTTCTGGACTGGTCAGGGTGGGGGTGGGGAGTCTAACAAAAGTAGAATACAGTCAGAGTGCTGAAATATATATTTATTGTTTCACTTGACTATCGTAACAGAAGTATGACTCCTGCTGCAGTTTATGTTTCAAAGGATAAAGGGGGATTAGATGCTGATAAGACTTTCATTTGACTATACAGTAGTCTCTGATATTTAAAATAAACAACTGAGTTATACTTACAACACCCACATTTATATAGGATGATTTCTATGGCACCTAGTGTGTAAATATGAGAAAGCATTATTGCTTTGGAGTAATATGTTTAGGGTTATACAGAAAAAAAGATATCTCCAGCCTAGTAGAGAGATTGGTATATATTTTAAGATACGTCTGTCATAGGGTAGTCCAGTTCTTTAGGCAAATGGACCAACTCGCCTCTGTTTTAATGCAAACATCACAGAGTACATTTGTATGTTGTAAATGTATTCATTGTGCAAGCACAGTGGTATAAAAGAGTATTTTTGGACATTGCTAGTGCAACCAAGCAAAGGCCTGAAATACAGGATTCTTGATTCTCCCCGACCTGCTCCCTCCTATTGCTCTTGCTTTTTCAGAAATCTGGACTGTACGAGTATAAAGTCTATGCCACTCTTGGTGATTGTTCCCCAGATGTATGTGCAGAAGTGTACATGGATTTAACCTACAGATCACAATGGGACCGGTATCTTAGAGGTCAGTAAATTATTCAAGACCAAAATGTCATTTTCTTTGGTCGCTGTGATAGGTTCCTTTCCTCTGCTCCTTGACCACCATTGTTTTGAAGATTCTTCTACTTCGCTCTTTCAAGTGCTCTGTACAGTTTTTCAGTATGAAAAATGCATGAAGTAGATTTCCATTACCAAAGCATTAATGCTAATATAGTCATCCACTTGTGATGCCCTGAAAAACAAATAAGAAGCAATGTTTTTCTTACTAGCCACTTTTTGTGTTAAAACCAACTTACTTAGATCCATCGACACTGTTCTCGTGTTGGTTTATGGGTAAATGGACTTGTCTCTTCATCATTATATGACATCTGGGGAATCTGAGGCCTAGTGTTTGATACCCCCTTAATCACCAGTTTTTATTAGATTGTTAGAGTGAAATTTTAATAGTTTTGGAGGCAAAGGAAATCACATGTGTTATGCAAGCCACATCTGCTGAAATTCCCTCTCCTGAATATCGATGAAAAGATGAAGAAGCCTATCCTCTTTTGCAATTGGCTACTATACTCTTAAGACCTTCTTTAGCTTTGATCTCTTTGATTCTAGAGAGAATCAAAGAATTGGCAACTTAGGGGTGTGTGAAACTGTGAAATAGCATGAGTCCTCTTGGAAGTTATTGTTTTACCTCAACATTAATTCTGATGCAGTTTCGCCTGAGCAAGGACTTCCACTTTTGCCTCAAAATTTGCCTCAGGTGAAATTTGTCAGAGGTGGTGTCATGTCATACTGTTGTGTACATCTTTTTTTAACGGAATGATATTTGTGCATTTCCATCCCTATCCTAAACTTCAAAGTTCCGGTTCTCTTCTCCATGTTTAGTTTAAACAAGTGACTATTTGTCTTTCCATATAAACTACACATGAGATCCTTATCTAGTTGTGCAACATATCATATGGTGATCCAGCTGTAGCAGTACAGTGATACCTTGGTTTACAACCATAATCCATTCCGGAGGTCCGGTTGTAAACCAAAACAGGTTGAAACCCAAGGTGCACTTTTGCCATTGGGGCCTCAAAAAATAAAATACAATGGTTGTAATAAAAAATAAGAAGAAAGGGTTGTAATAATAATAAAAAAGGGATACGCACTTCAGGGTTTGACGTGATTGTAATCCAAAATGGTTGTAATCCAAAACGGTTGCAAACTAAGGTACCACTGTACCTAAGATTACTCCCTGCTGAAACCACTACAGTCATACCTCGGGTTGAATGTGCTTCGGGATGAGCGCATTTGAGTTGCGCTTCGCAGCAACCCAGAAGTAATGGAGCGCATTACTTTCGGGTTTTGCCACTTGTGCATGCGCGGACGCTCAAAATGACGTCACGCGCATGCGCCGAAACGCCGAAATGTGACACGCGCGGACATGGGTTACGTTTGCTTCTAGATGTGAACGGGGCTCCGGAATGGATCCCATTCGCATCTAGAGATGCCACTGTACTCTTGGAGTTCCTTCATGCACAGCTAGTCCTGATGACATGTTTCTGCTAAGACCTTTTAGAAGATGGCAATGACTTTTCGGCCCCAGAACAAGAGAGCATTTCTCAAGACATCACACTGAATTTGGTGACATCGATTGATGTTGGAAAGCCATTTATTCTAAGTAGCACCCATGGGAAAGCATTTTAAGATGTATCCTTCCAAAGAAATGGTGCTCTGCTATTCTTGAGTTGGTGGAAACTGCTTTCCAGCCACCGCCCTCACCCACCTCTTTTGCTCAAGTGATTTAGGACACTGCCTGCACTGCACTGTCTCTCCATACATTCAATTATAATAGGTTTGTTCTAATTATATATTGAGTTTTCCTTGGTTCACGCTGCTGACAGAGCACTTCCAAGTTGCATCAACTGCCCTTCCCTATCATGTAATGTAGATTTTCCCATTATGTTCACATGTATCGATTATATGTTGGAAGTTAACTTGAGTGTCCCTTGAGATACACGGGGAGGGCTTGGTCATCTTGGCTAACTTTTAGCTATTGTGAGATTAATAAGAGCAGATACACTATCTTCCATTGGGATGACACTCTATTGCTGCATGCCACAGACACAAAGGGTGGGGAAGGAAACCCATGACTTCAACACGACAGGGGCAATAGGATATGAATGTCCCCATCTGCAAATGACTCACAACGTCTGATTTGCAGAGCTTCACATATTTTGGCCTACGGTATGCAGGGAATGTTTCAAATACCTTCCGTTATCCCTTGTGTGATGCCATGCTCACATCTATGTTATCTAATATATCAATATCAATATATATATATATATATAGCATATTAGATGTCCATTGTCATTCAGACAAGATGTTTTCAAAAGGTGAATACTAATATATTTCTGGTGCGTTTCTTAACTTAAGACTGTGGAACTTCCACAAAGAGCGAAGTTTCGATTTGTGTGTGTGTGTGTGTGTAGAAAATATTGCATACTTTGATCAATCAATTTTAAGGAACAAAAGTATGCATTACTATTGTTATTGTTATTAATTTTATACCCTACCTTTTCCCCTGACGGGACTCTACATTCACAAGAAGAAACATTTCAATAATCTCCAGTGTACTAAAATGAAGGGGCAGATTATTCTAGCAATTTTCGTAATGAATAATGAGATTTTAATATCTATGGGCAGGATTCACCTTAGTGTCTATGCTGGAAGCCTACCGATTGGGCCACTTAGATTAGCAGGGGGAGAAGCAAAATGTCCTTTCAGTAGCAACTTCTCATGTCTTTTTGGTGCTGTTCTCCAAGGACCCCCAGTGTGGGAGGGCTTTATGGGGCAGTGAGGAGATTTGGAAAAACAAGCAAACATGTGATCTGAGAACCCATGCATCTCAGTAGGCCACTGTAGCTTATCTCACCATATTTCCCCAGATTTTGAACCCATGGACATTTTGGCAGCCCATGCTTTGATAGTGGAAGGTTGGAAAGGTTGTTTTGGAAAGGCAATAAAAGGTGAACAAAGGTAAAAATATGAACAGATTTACAGATACCAGAGACATATTAACCAGCAAGCCATCCTCACTGTCCTTAATCTAGGCTGTCTCACTCTTCGGGGAATACTGAAAGAAGCTAGACTCTGCAAGTGAGAGGATGACCTAAGATACAATAATAGCATGTCTTCTCAAATAATAGGGTTCAGTTTGTCCTTCTGGTATGTGAGAGAAAATATCCATTTAAAGTGGAACTCCCTGTATTGCCCATTAAATTGAACATGTCAAATATTACTCTTTTTCTCAAACCTTCAATTTTGAGTTTGCTTGCTGCTTAAGATGCAGGAAACGGAATAGGTTGTCAAATGGCACCAAGTTAATACTCCAGTGACCTCTGGTGGAAAATGTGATATTATTTGGTGTCTTATAGTGGGAACAGCACTATCCATCAAACAGCTGGCATTACATATTGCATCGCACGGAAATAATGTCTTCCAAGACAATAACTTCTTGTTAGGCCCTTTCATATATTTGTGATGAATACTGGCATCTCAGCATATGTGTCTGCAGCAAAATAGTCCCTCGTGCAGCTATTCCCACATTCATTGGAGAAAACACAGCATCTGAAGTGGTCTGCCTGCCATAGATACTTGGGAAGATAAGGAACTTTAGAGAATACCTTTCTCTTCCCCATTGGAACTTCCCCAACTTTTGAGATCTGTCCATGAACCCTACCTATTTGAGAAGAAGGGTTAAGTTAGGGCAGGGCTTCCCAAACCATGGTCTGTGAACTATCAGTGGATTGCAAGAATAATTCAGGTGGTCTCTGGCATGTCGGTGTCTGGTTAAATATTGGCGACGACACTCCCACTGCATTAAATATTCATGTTGGTTTTTTAAAATTGCATTTGAATTGCTTCTTTTATTGTAATCTATTGTGTCATGATTGGAATTCTATGGAATACAGTAAAATGCAATATATGACAAATAAAAGAAGCTGTAAAATACATTTAAAAACTGTATAGCGTCTAGCACGGTGCATTACAAACTATACAACAGGCAGGAAAAAAAAGTGGTCTGCCACAATCTTCATCAGTGATCCATTGGGGGGGGCGTGGGCCTTTGGGAATTACTGATTTAGTGCCTTTTCAGTCATGGCACTGCAGTTTTAGAATTCTCTCCTTGATTAGGCCTGGCATCAACTTTCTTTTCTATAGTCCTTGGTAACAAATGTCCTCTCAAGTAATCGGGCTGTTTAGGCCTGATTTCTCCAAACTGGGTGAAAGAGCACTAATATGGTAAAAGCAGTTCTGTGTTAGCAGGTATCAAATGATGCACAAGGGAGAGGAAAATCCTAGTTTCACAAATGCACTTGCAGGGTCTGAACAGGTGGTGACAGGCCTGATCAGTAAGGAGGGACATAATAGAGGTGAATGAGATTTTGCTTAATGTGGAGAAATTTGCCCCCCCCCCAATACGAGAACATGGGGTCACCTAAGATCATCTTCTGAGGCCCTTCTTCGTGTGGCTCCTCCTTGAGAGGTCCGGAGGGTAGCAACACGAGAACGGGGTCTTCTCTGCAGTGGCTCCCCGTTTGCGGAATGCTCTCCCCAGGGAAGTTCATCTGGTTTCTTCATTGTACACCTTTAGGCACCAGGCAAAAACGTTTCTTTTTAACCAGGCCTTTGGTTGATCGGATTGACGTCCTATCCCCTTTTAAAAAGTGACTCTTTTTGGGGGGGTGTTATTGGGTGGTTGTTTTTATTTTATTACATATATTGATCTTTTCTGTGACCTCTGGGTATAGGGCGGTATATAAACTCAATAAATAATCATATTAAAACAATAATCTAATGAAATTTAATGTTGGAAGATTTAGGGGAGACAAAAGGAAATCTTCACACAGCCCACTGTTAGATGGGCATTTGCTACCGCAAGATATAACACTATCCACTGACTTGGATGGTTTTAAAGGGTTTTTTTTAGACAAATAGTGGGGGATAACTTTATGAATGGCTGCTGGCCGTGATATTGTATCTGTGTACCTCTGAACATTAGTTACTGGGGGAGCACAAGTTGGGAGAGTTCTGCTTGTGAGATCCCCATGCACATTTGGATGGCCATTGTGAGAACAGGATGCTTGACTAGGTGAGCTTTTGGGTCAAATTCTTTAAAAAAGAACCAATTATGTCTATCCCTTTGTGCCCGACCCTTGTTGAGGTCTGACACATACACAGTTATGATTCGTGTCTGACTCCTTTCACATTTTCAATTCACCAAATGCATTGAAAACCTTATGTAAGTCCAGCTGAATAAAACATAGTCTGCCTCTAACGCATTTCCCCTCCGATTTTTAGATATAAGTGAGAAACCTTTTGAGGGCAGAACAGTAATCCGCTGGGAAGTGAAGTTCCCTTTCCCCATGGCAAATAGAGATGTATCCTTTCAAGTCTTCGGTTGCAGTTTTGCTCTTAATAGTTGAGGCTGCAAACTCCTCACAGCACAGTTCTGCAAGTTTAAATGAGGTAAAAAAAAAATTGACTCTTAAGGGAAAAGAAAAAGTTAAGACTTTGATGCGCATTCTTGTGAACCATATTCTGTCATACCCTTTGAGGAGCAAAACAAAAACAAATGCAGGCTTCTTGAAACAGGATTGCTTTTTGTATTTGGACCAGTATACCTTCTGTCTCGATGATATATGTATATTATATATACAGGCACATCCTGATTATTTCTTAAACTTCAGCATAGTATGTTTTCGTTCGTGAGCGTAAAGATATGGAACTTGAAGGGAAGAAGATATATGTTATATTGGCTAAAAGCGTGAATACCACTAAATTCCCAGAGAAGACTGGGATTGTTAGAGTAAAGAATTATAAACAATGTGTGGCCTTTGAAAGCGATGGCAAGAAAGGCTCCAAAGGTAAGAAATCAGTAAAGAACTTTATAGAAATACCTGCTTAGAGCTAGGCATGAGGAGAAAGTTCAATTCAATTCGCATTTGAAGGTGAACGTGCCTAATACACACTTTTCAAAACAAGGCACAAACCCAAAGCGGAGCTATCCTTTGAAATTTGCATTACTCTGAATTTTGCAATAGTTTCCCAGCCAAGTAACATGTACACAAATGCATTTTTCAGGATACAGTGTGCATATGAATGCACATATTAAAGAAAACAGTATACAGAAATGTATTATCTTAGGGGAAGTTGCTTGTAAATCTTATTGATATTTATTTAACTTTTTTTTACTCTGCTTGTCTGTAAACACAACAACCTCTATGCAGTTTACAACAGTATAAAAACATTAAGAATTATTGATTAAAAGTGTATATTTCGCTGGTCTGGGAGATGATGCGTCCGAGGATTCCCCCAGTATCGCGGGGGCTGTGAGCCAGCCCCGCGTGCATGGGGAGGGGCGTGAAGCCCGCAACCCCACCTCCTCTCCAGCTCGGAAGTGGATTTCTGATGCAGATATTGCAGTTCTGCTAATGGGTTCACGTATCCTAGGCCCTAACTATTCGTAATTCTTTCTAATAGAATTTTTTGCAGGGTTGGGGTTGGCAGAGGGAATCATTTGTTGTTGTATGCACAATCCCTTCTTGGTGATCAGAGAGAGAAAAATTAGATGTGGTTGGATATACGCAAAATTGGCAGAGCTTGCTGAAACTGGGAAACTTTCCTTCCAACTCTGCAACAGGCCTCCATAACTCCAGAGATGAAACTGAGAAGGATTTTCGAAGCCTCTGTCAGTTTAGCCTCTACAGTGAAGAAAGACCTTTGAATTTATTGCAGATCTGAATGGGAATAAAGTGTTTTGCTTTCACTGCTGCTTTTTGCAGCTATTGCGCTCGGACCAGACAATGTACAATTAATTCTGAACTTACAGGGACAGCAGTTGCGTGTACAAAACACTGAACAATTGAAGAGGGTGGAGGAGAAGAGCTTTTTGGGGAAAGAAAAAAAAAACCTCTTGCAGTCATGCAGACGTTGTTCAGAAACCGTTGAGGGGTTTCAGCAAATATATCTGATATCATGGGATGGAACAGTGGAAAACTCCAGAGAAATAAGGGAATAAATTCTGCACATTTATGGTTCTAAATAACAACACTAAAAGCAGCTTAGATAGCTGCTAGTCAGGTGACCACAAAATAGATATATAAATGAATAGCTGCTGTTGCTTAAATAAGATTTCTGACTCCCTCTTTTCTTACTTCCGCTTTGAAGTTTTCATGTCATACTTTGATGACCCTGGTGGCAAGGTTCCTTCGTGGCTTGTCAACTGGGGAACTAAGGTAAGCAGGAATTTGTAGGGAACCAACCCAGTGGGTTATGCCCATGGCTTTTCTGGCCTGATTCTCTGTTGCCAGCACTGTAGGCAGAACTACAGGTACTGAAAGGGGAAGAGTCATAGAATTGGAAGGGACCCTAAGGGTCATCTAGTCCAACCCCCCGCAAAGCAGGACTCTCAGCTAAAGCACCCATGATAGATGGCCAGCCAACTTCTGTTTTAAAACCTCCAAAGGAGAAAAGTCCACAACCTCCACAGCTCTTACTGTCAGAAGTTTTTTCCTGGTGTTTAGTGGGAATCTCCTTTCTTGTTACTTTGAACCACTGGTTGAAGTCTTACCCTCCGGAGCAGGAGAAAGCAAGCTCGTTCCCTCTTCCATGTGACAGCCCTTGAGATATTTGAAGATGGCTATCATATCTCCTCTCAGTCTCAGAATAGAGCCCAGAGCAACAACCCAGACTTGTTTGTGTCCATTCCCTATTGTCAGTTGCTAGTCTGAGACAATAGCTCTGTTCATGCAGTACTCACCTGAAGGTGGCATCCTGCTAGTGCAGGGGAGAAGGGCTGTGCTCTGGGCTCCTCCCACAGCACCAAGTATACTGCCTTAAAGAGGCCAATACTTACAAAACTTTTTTACTGCAGGAATCCCTCAGGGAATGATGCACATTTAGGATTTGCTTGTGCATTTCTTTCCCTTTTAATCTTTTCATTTCTGTCCTTTCCCTGCCCAGTTAGGTAACTTGTTCAGAGCCTCCAACTCTCACTGATAATATCAAACAAAAACACTTTCTTCTAAACCTTTGGTTTATGTGCTGCTAGCAGCGTGGGATATTGTTTGGATCCTATAAATCTGTATATTTTGAAAGCTGCAAATGGTGGTGGCATGTTGCTACTGTGTAGGAGGGTCACCAGGATTAACAAATTTTAAAAACCAGTTAAGAATCCCCCTCTAACCTCATTTATAATGCTTGTTTAAGCCACAGAGCACAATTACTTTTGTGTTTGAAGTGGCATAGGTGTAACAAAGAGTTGAACTTCAGTAGTTGCCTACTAGGCCATAAAGTGTAGATGCATAAGTATTTTGTGATCCCTTTCTTTACAGACTGGAGTGCCTAACTTCTTGATTGATATGGAGAAAGCTTGCCACAGTTACCGCAAAAGATAAAACTGCTCCATGAATGTGATCCAGATTGATAGCTGAAAGGTATATTTTGCATGGATAATGAGCCATGGACACATCACTGAATAACATCTGCCTTTTGGGATAGTAATCATGAGCCATGTAAGTTCCCAGGCATGTGACAATGAAACATATTAAAACTTTTCGTTTTTCATTTTCCATCTGTTTGATGCACTGCCATTTAATTTTTTGAGGGCTTTCACGTATCATTTCGACATTTGAGCCATGCTGTTTGTGGTTCCCTCACGCTTGTGTACTGATCACCTTTGAACACAGGAGCTCTGATGCATCACTTCAGTAGAGGGAACAGCACTATGTCCAAAGAGTGCTGTGCATGCAGAACTTCTCCCTTCATTGAAACTAGTAGAGAAACCCATACTGCTGTGCGCTCTGAGCTCTGCATCAAGATGCTCAAGATAGAAAGTACACTAGCTGTACTTTGGTCGACAGTGCTAAATAGAACTGTTGGATGCCTTTTAGTTGATCTCTTCTTAAATAATAATAATAATAATAATAATAATAATAATAATAATAATAATTTATTATTTATACCCCGCCCATCTGGCTGAGTTTCCCCAGCCACTCTGGGTGGCTCCCAATCAAGTGTTAAAAACAGTACATGATTAAATATTAAAAACTTCCCTGAACAGGGCTGCCTTCAGATGTCTTTTAAAGATAGGATAGTTGCTTATTTCCTTCACATCTGAAGGGTGGGTGCCACTACCGAGAAAGCCCTCTGTCTGGTTCCCTGTAACCTCACTTCTCGCAATGAGGGAACCGCCAGAAGGCCCTCGGCGCTGGATCTCAGTGTCCGGGCTGAACGATGGGGGTGGAGACACTCCTTCAGGTATACAGGACCGAGGCCGTTTAGGGCTTTAAAGGTCAGCACCAACACTTTGAATTGTGCTCGGAAATGTACTGGGAGCCAATGCTGATCTCTCAGGACCGGTGTTATGTGGTCCCGGCGGCCACTCCCAGTCACCAGTCTAGCTGCCGCATTCTGGATTAATTGCAGTTTCCGGGTCACCTTCAAAGGTAGAGCGCATTGCAGTAGTCCAAGCGGGAGATAACTAGAGCATGCACCACTCTGGCAATACAGTCTGCAGGCAGGTAGGGTCTTAGCCTGCGTACCAGATGGAGCTGGTAGACAGCCGCCCTGGACACAGAATTAACCTGCGCCTCCATGGACAGCTGTGAGTCCAAAATGACTCCCAGGCTGCGCACCTGGTCCTTCAGGGGCACAGTTACTCCATTCAGGACCAGGGAATCCCCCACACCCGCCCGCCCCCTGTCCCCCCAAAACATTACTTCTGTCTTGTCAGGATTCAACCTCAATCTGTTAGCCACCATCCATCCTCCAACCGCCTCCTTCTTACTCTGTTCCTCCGCTGTCTTCTAAGAAATGTGACTTAAACAGTTCATTAAAAGGTAAAGTGGACAGGATTTTCAATGAGCAAATGAGATGTTATCTTTTATTGAAATAAATAGTCACAAAACAACTGGCCGACATCCAACTAAAGTTATACAAACCCCACTGACATCCATTAGTTGTGACTAAAGGCTATTAATCTCAGCAGGACATAAACACAATTAACTTCTTCTTTGGGGTTGGGCCCATTGTGCGAAAAGATTTCAAATGTCAAGATTCATCTGAGCAAAACAAAAATAATTAGCAATAACTTTGCTAATAACCTTTCAAGGCACACTGGGTAACGCTGTGGGACTTGTTTTTTCTCCGTGTAGTGTGCCTTCCACATTTGATGCCCAGCTTCGCAAATATAACAATACATTCTGTGCCTACCGAGATTGGAACAAACAACATTAGACTTGAAAAACTGCCTTATTTTCAGATTTTTATATTTCTGCTTGCATCTTTCCTGTTAGGTGGTTTTGGATCACCCAGGCCCAAGACCAAGCAGACAGATCACATGATTTGTGGATCGAGGGCCCGACCCCCGCTATGTGAAATAAATACACAAGGACACGTGATATAAGGTTAATGGGCAAGGAAAGGCCACAACTTTATTGATTACAGCAGTGAAAAGGTATTGGCTTAGGCATTGGATGACTATAGGAGGTGGGTTTATTCAACAGTAGGTGGAGCCTGTTGATGCTCATCCAACTATAGGCTCACCCCCTGATGCCACCGAGGGTTGTGCCATGGCCTCCCGCCAAGCAGGCATCGGACGGAATACACGACCACCAGATTCCTTTAACGGAATAACCCACGGTAGATAGCATAGGCGATGGCCACACCTAGCCCTTGACACAGCACAACACATGAATCCAATGCCTAACCTACCCACCAATACTCACTGAGGGACGACGACGAATGAGGAGGAGGCGGAGCTGGCGCCACAGCATTAAGCTGCTACACACGCCCCCCCCCCCGAGGCACCTAGTTGGCTGCCTCCAGTGGGCGTGGGCGCCAGCCAGGTAAAGAGGGGAGGGGGCTAAGGCCCCCTACCAGGGGCGGAGCTCGGTCTCCCGCCCACAACCAGAGTCCTTCCTGCCATATCTGTCTGCTTTCTTGGTTCTCAAGAGTTGGTGCCTCATCCAGGTAAACAACACTCTGGGTATATAGCACTGTTTCCCTCCAGTATCAGGAATGCAAAGCCCTGTTGCACATATGTTCGTGGGATCATTATGTTTAATCAGCCCAGAAAAGTATATGATCTCACGTGTCCCATTGGTCATATTGTGTGAAACAGTCATTAACATTATTATTTATTGCAGGAGACATTTGAAGTGAGCTAGTTAGTCTGTTTGCACAGATCTCTTTCATTCTGCTCCGTCTTAACAACAGAGGAAGCTGTTGCCTGTGGATGCAAAGGTCCCATTGTGGACTTTCTTCTGTATCTCAATGTGATGTTTTATCTACTGTAGCAGGCACCATTGACTCTTTCCCTCTATGTCCACAAACTTGTAAGCTGTTTATTTTCACAAATGCTTCTCAGGCTAAAGTAACAGCACAAGTCTCAGCATGTTTTTTTGTCCTTAACTGAGGGCTCTGACACACACACTATTAACTGGATTGAAAGGACTGGGTACAGGCGGCAGGACCAATAGCTCTCAGTTGTAGCATAATTCTAAACTTCGCTTAACAGAAACAGTTCTATGTGGTCCCCTTAACCTTGGGAAAAAACTGGAGAAGAAAGTTTCTTCTATGAACAATCTCAGGTCTGTGCAGTATAGCAAAAGTAGGCACTGCATCCTGGCAATGGGTACAGCAAACGTCCGTATTGAATGAAAATGTATAAATATGTATCTGTAACAATGAGTCAGTTTGCCAAGCCAAATTCAACCCATCAGCCATGCATTGGCCTGCCAAGTGCTTGGCACCTGCCCCTTCCCCCAGTCCTAGGCAGGCAGCCAAAACAAAACAGGATTTTTATTGAGCCGCCATTTGTGCCTGGTGTGCTGTGTTTGGCTTCATGGGTGACACGCAGTGGAGGCCTGCTTTATATTTTGCATATTCCACTCATTTTCCGGTCAACATTGGTACATGTATAGGTTTATCAATAAATCCAGTAGTTAATTTTAACCCATGGCTTGTTTGGGAGATTTGTCGTCCGCCCCCCGAATCAACCCTTCTGCGAACACAAAGATTAATATCAATAAAATACCCCCTACAAGAGCCACTTCTTTACCAACTCAGCAGAGATCTGCCTCATATTCATCGTGTGGCTAGCTTTTTATTATTTTTATTTAAGAAACTATTTTAAGTTTTATCAGATAAACATAGCATAATAACCATATTGAGAAAACAAATAGTTACATTGAAAGTTTGCAAACCGCCAGTCCTGTTGATGTTCAAAGCATTGTTCATCGAGACAATTCTGCTGGTAGGTAGTTTTGAAATGTTGTGCACAATGTAATTTCTTCCATCGGAAGCTCAAAATTATGACCACATGCTACAGTTTGGAAGCAAATCCTTAGAAAATCAACCAGCAAGAAGACATTTCCTAATACCTCTTTCCGTTCCATAGCTGTCTGCTAGGCTATACTCCTGTCTTCCCACACTTTGCTGTTCCATCGGCTCTGAGAATGGCCAGTGACCTGCTTGAGAATTAAAAGTTTGGCCAGATGTTTCCTGAGCATTAAGCCAGCTTTGTATTTCCCTTTGCGCATCATCTTGCAAGAGGCAGAGCTGTGATGAGTGCAGATCTGACATTGTTTCAGAAAGCTGATGGCTGGGTTGGTGGGAATCTTTCCCCCCACTTGATATGTGTTGCAAAGTCAATCTTCTTTATTTCTACAGGAAAAATGCAAAAAAGAAAACCCCACCCCCTATAAAAATAGAGACTTATCTTGAAAATCAGAGCTATGTTGCTATTGTACAAAGAGGTTACATGTAGCTATCATGACTAAACAGCTGTTTTGATAGCCCCCCCCAACCATAGATCTTTCCAATATTTTTTCAAATCCATCAAAGTAGATAGCCATAATCCTATATTTTGGTAGCAAATTCTCTTGAAGAATTATGCTGTTTAAAGAAGCATGAGACTGGGATTGCCAAAGCTTTTGGAACACAGGGCACATTTTTAAATTGGAGAAAATGCTGTGGGCACCAGTCACAAAATGTCTCTCTTGGGGGGGGGCATGGCATAACACAACATGGCTGCCATGGGGGGGGCGGGTGGCATAACACAAAACGAGAGAGGAAATAGTCATCCTGCTGACTTCAATATTGTGGAGATCACACAACATGGGTTTCCCAGGCATACACAACAATGCTATTGCTGTCTAATAACAAGCAGGAACATTAGTACAGTGGTATCTCAGGTTACATACACTTCAGGTTACAGACACTTCAGGCTACAGACTCCGCTAACCCAGAAATAGTACCTTGGGTAAAGAACTTTGCTTCAGGATGAGAACAGAAATCGTGCTCCGGCGGTGCAGCAGCAGCAGAAGGCCCCATTAGCTAAAGTGGTACATCAGGTTAAGAACAGTTTCAGGTTAAGAACAGACCTCCGGAACGAATTAAGTTCTTAACCTGAGGTACCACTGTACCAGGAAAAATATTCAAAGTGCCCCCCCCTTTTGCGCACACGCTTACCACACATATACAGAGCACAGAAACACATGCATCTCTCCCTCCTTCACTCATATACACACATTTCAGATAAACACCTCTCCCTCTCCTCCCAAACACACC